GGTGGTGGGGGTAGTCCTAGGCCTGGATCTGAGCTCCAAACTAGCTCTGCTGATTGGCAGACTAGCTTATACATGCAAATGAAGACCAAAAGCGAGAAGCTGTAGCTGCTCTTATATCTGATAAAACAAACTTCCAGCCAAAATTCATCAGAGGAGATAAAGAAGGTCACTTCATACTGTTAAAAAAGTCTATTCAACAAGAAGTTATAATGATTATAAATATTTATGCTTCATATGTCAATGCACCTATGTATATAAAATAAGTTCTAATTGACATAAAATCCCAAATAGGTGCCAATACAATAATACTGGGTAATTTCAATATACTTCTCTCACCAATGGATACATTATATGAACATAAACTAGGTAAAGACTCTTCAGACCTAAAAAATACCATCAGTCAAATGGATCTAACAGACATCTATAGAAAATGTCCTCCATTGACAGGAGGACATCCTGAATTCATTTTGTTCCCAGCTGCACATGGAATTTTCTAAAAAAAAAAAAAAAAAAAGACCATATTTTAAGACACAAAACACATCTAAGCAAATACAAAAAAAACCCAATAATTCCTTGTATCCTACCAGATCATAATAGAATGAAATTAGAAATCAATCACAAGATAAAAAACAGAAAACAGTTTACAAAATAGAGACTGAATTATACATTTTTGAACAAGAAATGGGTCTGAAAAGAAAAAGCATTAGAGGAGAAATGAAAAATGTTTTAGAAACAAACAAGAACAGAAATACAACATATCAAAATCTCTGAGACACTATGAAAGCAGTTCCAAGACAGAAGCTTATAGCATTGAGTTCCTACAGTTTAAAAAAAAAAAAAAACAACCAGAAATATCCCAAATGAAAAATATACTGGTATGTCTAAAGCCCCTAGAAAATCAAGAACAAACTAATTCCAAAACCAATAGAAGACAAGAAATATTTAAGATTAGAGTCAAAATTAATGAACTTGAGAATAAAACTACAATTCAAAGAAGCAATGCAACAAAAAGTTTGGTTCCTTGAAAAGATTAACAAGACTGAAAAATCCTTATTCAAATCAACCAAAAGAAGGAGAAAAAAGTATCCAAATCAACAAAATTAGAGTTGAGGAGATATAATTACATACATTGATAAAATCCTGAAGATTATTAGAAAATATTTTGAAAATTAATATTTCAATGAATTAGAAAATTCAGAATATAATGACAAATTTCTAGACACATGGCTTACCCAAATTGAATCAGGAGAATATAGAAAACCAGAAATGACCAATAACAAGGAATGAGGTTGAAGTAGTAGTAAAAAGTGTCCAAACAAGAAAAGCTCAAGGCCAGACAAGGATTCTCAGCTGACTCCTATCAGACCTTAAAAGGAGAAACAATGCCAGTCTTCCTCAAAGTATTGGTGGAAAAACAATTGGAAGAAACACTCCAAAATTCATTACATGTAGCCAGGATCACCCTGGCACTAAAACCAGATAAATACAAAGAGAGATAGAGACCAATATCCCTGATGAACATAGACACAAAGTTTCTTAATAAAATTTTAGCCATCTGACATATTAAACCATATTAACAAGATTATATCAAAATACACTCTACTGGCAAGTATATCTAAAAAGAGCAAAGAAATAAAGAAATATATTTGAGCTGGGCATGGTGGCACATGCCTGTATCCCAGTAACTTAGGGGGCTAAGGCAGGAGGATTGAAAGTTCAAGATTAGCCTTGTTAACTTTGCAAGACCCTCAACAACTTAGTGATGCCCTGCCCCAAATTTTAAAAATAAATAAATAAAAAGGACTCAAAAAGGACTGGGGATGGAATTTTTTGATTAAATGCCTCTGGGTTGAATCCCCAGTACCAAAAAAAAAAAAAAAATAGATTATACATTATGGACATGTTGGTTTAATTCCAGGGACAGAGGGTTGGTTCCATATACACAAATAAATAAATATAACTAATCTATATAAACAGAATTAAGGACCAAATCACATTATCATCTCAAAAGATGCAGAAAATACCTTCAACAAAATTCAGCACTTTCATGTTAAAAACACTAGAGAAACTAGGGATACCTCAATATTATAAAGGCTGTATTTGACAAACCCAAAGCCAGCATCATAATAAATGAAGAAAAACTAAAAGCATTTCCTCTAAAATCAGAAGCAAAAAAAAGGATGTCCACTCTTACCACTCTTATTCAATAAAGTTCTTGAAATTCCAGCCAGAATATTCAGGCAAGGGAAAGAAATTAAATGAATACAAATAGGGGGGAAAAAGAAGACAAATTACCTCTGTTTGTGGGATGACATGATTCTGTATCTGAACAACCTATAAAACTACTAAAAGAGCTGATAAATAAATTCAGCAAAGTAGTGATTACAAGATCAACATATAAAAATCAATAGCTTTCCTATATTCCAATAACAACTTTGCTTAGAAAGAAATCAGTAAAACAATTCCATTCACAATACCCTCAAACAAAATGTAATACAAATAACTATTCATGCTATCAAGGGTGTGGAATAAAATATACTCATGTATTGTCAGTTGGACTGCAAATTAGTACTATTTTGGAAAGCAGTATGAATATTTCTTAAAAATAGGAAGGGAACCACCATATGATCCAGCCATTCTACTCCTATACATCCAGAAGAACTGAAATCAGTATACTAAAGGGATATATACATACTAATATTTATAGCAGTACAAGTCACAATAACCAAGTTATGGAGTTAGCTTAAGTGTCTTTCAGTAGATGATTGAATAAAGAAAATATAGTTTATATTTACAAAAAAATGGAGTTTTAGTTGGCCATAATTAATAATAAAATTGTGTCATTTGTTGATAAATGAATGAAACTGAAGAACATCATGCTGAATGAAGTAAGCCTCACTCAGGAAGTCAAAGGTCAAATGTTCTCTCACATGTGCAGAAGCTAGAGAAAAATAAGGAATTTTAAAAGTGTAGCAGGGAGGGAATCTCATGAAAAGAAAAGGGAGAAGAGCAGAATAAAGGAAGATGATTAAGGGGTAGGAGGAGACGGAATGGAAAAGGAAGGAACAGCAAAATGAGAGTGACCATGCTATGTGCATGTATGAATATACCACAATGATTCCCACACTTACGTAAAACTAAAATGCACCAGTTAACCAAAAAATTAATAGAAGGAAGACCAATAGCATAGAGGAAGAGGATTGGGGGGAGGGAGGAGGAAGGAGATAATACTGGGGGTTGAAATGGAGCAAATCATGTTACACACATTTATGAATATGCCAAAATGAACACCACAATTATGTATACCTATAATGCACTAACTAAAAAATGTTAAAATATAATAAACAGCCCCTTAATAAGTACATTTTCAAAAACTTTTTTCAGTAAAATTATGAAAAATTTCATTTGTCTTTTTAATCAAGCTACAAACATTCTTTTCTCTTCAGACTTGATGGAATCTTACATTCTCTCATTTTGTAATATTTGAGTTTTATAGATATATAAAATAATGGAAAATAAAATATGAGGCTCTTTTGTGGCTATGTCTGACACTAGGTCTTTCTGCTGATGCAAATTCCATGCTCATACACTATACTACACCACGTGCCTCTTCTATGTAAAGGAAAAAAATTATCTACATATTTATGACTACAAAACTTCATAAGCAAATGCTGCATACTCTATCAAATATGCTAAATATTAAATAAATATAGTTTAAATATTTTGTCCAGTATTGGATTAAATCAGTTGTTAATGAATAAAACCAAGAATCAATAACATCTGCATATGATATTTATTTCAGTAATTTAGTAAATAGCAATCCCTGTTTAATAACTTGATTATATATAGCTCTGTGGGGAAAGAAAAAAGAAGCTTTTCTAATTTAGGACTATAAAATTATATCACTTCCAGCAAAACAGTAATAAAGTAGAAAATCTGGGTCAAAAAGATGTCCAATTTATTTTAAAAGCTCTTACTCCATCTCATAATGGCATCCTAAAATTCTATTCTTGATAGTAGCATCATTAAGAATTTGTATGATTTAATTCTGTATTTGTCTGAAAATTGCAAAACTGAAAAAAAAAATCTCAAAAGCAATTCTATGTACTACAGTGCAGAGCATTCATAAATTCCAAAGGGAAGAAATCAAATAAATAGCATTCAACTGAAGCAAATAAATTATGTCCAAAAGTGAACAATTCCAAATCCTAACTGGTGGCTTAATCTTAATTACTTTTCTTAGGAAATAAAGAGTTCCTATCTGGAATCTCAATTATAAAAAGTCCCAATAATTTTGCAGATGACAAAAAATGTAATATTTCTACTTAATAGGCAAACCTGAGAGAGCGATGAGTATTTTTCTAAATCTCTTTTTCAAAGCTCTAAATTTAGCTTCTAAAGAAACGTAAGCAGAATATTGTTATTCAGGAACAACTGTCATTTAGTGTCTTGTTTTGATGGCTTCACACTCTTTAAATTGTAAGTGTGCTATTCAATTAAACTTCCATCTCACAATGACATAATTTATAACATAAAAGATCCCTTTATTTGATGCATGGTTAAGAAATTATATTAAAGAAGTTTTCTGTGACTATAAGAATATTTGAATTGTTAAATCCATGAGTCAAGGTTTTGCTCATCGCTTGTATTACTTTGTTTGAACTACTATAACAAAATGCCATAGGCCCCATGGTTCAAACAACATTTATTTCTCACAGTCCTGGAGGCTAGGAAGTCCAATATCAAGATGTCAACAAATCCAGATCTGAGTGAGTGCACCCTTCCTGGCTTTGAGAAGATCACCCTCTTGCTGTGTCCTCAAAACAGTAGAAAAAAAGGAGAGGGAAGCTTAAACATCAATGCTCTGGTCTCTGTTCTCTTTTTACAAAGACACTAATTGCATCATAAGGATACCACCCTTATGACCTCAACTAACTCTGATTATGTATCCAAGGCAGAAACCCTGGAGTAAGTGTTTTCACATGTAAATTCGAGAGACAGTTCTGTTTACAGCATCCCTAAAGTACTTGTATGTGATATGTGTATAAGCAAAACTTTCATCACTTTTCTAATCCAAAACCTCTTTAATCCTTATTTTTATGCCTGAATTTGAAGACCACAAAATAATGTTTTAAAATTTCTTTACTTTTAAGCATAATTCTTAATCCTTAAATTTTTTTTTCTGAAACTAGTGAGTGATAATAATAACTGTTAACATTTATTGATGCTTGCTAATTTTGCAGACACGGGCGATGTCCTGGGAGTTTTCATGGATCAAATGTATTGAATCCTCATGAAGACTCTATAAGGTAGGTAATTTTATTTACATTTTACAAAAGAGAAAACTGATTCCTGGGGAAACTAAATAGCTTGCTCATGGGAAGCAAGCAACTTAAGGGGCCAGGTTTTGAAGACACACAGCCTGGTTCCAGAACACACTCTTACTTAAATACTTATACCTCTGCTATTACAGAGTCAGATAATCAAAATCTTATCTTGTTTTAATATGATAAATCTAAATAATAATTGGAAAAAGTAAAAGCAGTATTCTTGCCTAGAAAAAATAGTAAAAATGATTCATAACTATGTGAATTAGATTTATTAAAATATTTATATTAACATTTACTTGAATCAATGAATATTCCATACATATCAAAGTAAATCTGAACAAACACATCTTCTTAGACGTTCAATTATAGGCAACACTTGTATACATATCTAATGGAGATATTGCTCTCATAGTATATGGACTAATATTTTTAAGTATGTGTTATGATTCATTGTATTTCACTAATAAATAGGAAAGAGACTCCTTTAATTGTGCAATTGATTGAATATTGCTGTTTGTGTAATGGTAAATGATTTTCATTTACAACTGTCAGATATTGGTGACATTTAGGAATGTAATATGCATAGTCTACAATTGTTTCTTCATCTTTAATAGAGACTTTAATCTTCTCACACATCCAAATTGAAGGCACAAGCTTAGATGCTTTAGCTTAGTCACTTTACATTTGCTTTGTTTAATTCAAATCTCTTAATATAACCAAAAAAATCTACTCATGTAAATTTATTCTTCCAGGTAAAATGATTTAACAAACACACATGGGTTACCTAGATCATACCAGATGTTAAAATCCTGTGTATACACAGCTTGTACCCAGAGAATATGATAATGCACAGTGCTGTAAATCTTTATTTGTACCATATCTGAGTTTCCCTTGTTCCATGTAATTGCCTAATGTGTCACTGAGATCTGTCGCCTTTTCCTTCAAGTCATCTCTGTATATCTAGATAATCATTTCTACCAGTTTTCTGTCATTGAATTACCACCACCTAATCCTCATGATTTGTCCTTAAAGCAACCCTCAACATTATCATTTTTTTTGTTTTTTCCTTCAGTCAGGAGCATATTTACTATAATGTCCTATAATCACACATTTTAGAGATATAAGGCAACACTTTCACTCTCATTCTTTCTCATTATAAATATTGCTGTTTAGACTGTACTAGCTAAACAATAGAAAAAAATATATATTTCTAATATCATTGGTTCCAGGCTAGGAAGTTTTCTGATCTGTTTATAGCATTGGTGGTGACAACAGATTCTAAAAACAGTATTCCAAAAGTGGGCTTTAAGGACAGTGCTCTAAGTCTGTATCAGACTAGTAGCAGGAGCATCCTGGCATGAACCAATCCACCCATAACAGGAAAAAATACACAAATTCAATAATCATCAAACATCAGCCATCGTCCAAAGATATACATTTTTAATAAAACTAAATGTGAATTCTTAGAAAAGACTGTTCTCAAGATCTTTTACATTTTTTTAAGTAGTATACACACAAAACCAAAATTCACATGGCTAAATACTGGGTAAATTGAATCGTATTTCCAATTTAATAGGTCAAAAAAGTCTGACTATCAGCAATTTTATATTACCTAACACTAAAGTTGTAATAACCTTAGTCTTAATTTAGAATAATGAGGAACACTGATATACAGAAAGATGGCAAAAAATAGGAAGATAGTATTTACCATTATATCATTTCTCTCCCTTCTATGAATAAAATGTTAAGAATTACCTTAATTTTCTGCCATTGGTTACATCTCATAGTCTCCAGAAGACTGTGGCAGAGAAGATTAAAAGCTGGCAATATAAATCACAACTTCTCCTACTAATACCATGTTTTCCAAACACTATACTGACAAATGATGAGAGTATTATGAAATCCTCAGTTCAATAATCCAATATTCCTCCAGTAGTTAGCAAAAGTTGTGTGAAATAAAACACATTCTGAAACAAATGCCAAGGTTAAAAATACTGCTTCAAAGTCTATAAACTTATTACATGCTATTATCAAGTGCCAACAGTTTTCCGTTCCCAGTACTTTCATTTTACTTTAAATCGATTGGAATTACCACATTAAATCTATGTCTTTCAGAGCTCAGCATGGGAATAAGCAGTCAGATTAAACACAGTATGGCTGGCAAAACCCACACAATATAATTATTTGTTCTTATCACTCTAAGCTCTTCACTTGAATCCACACGTATTTAAGGAACACACAAATTTCAAAGCACTGCTTTATGTGCTGCAAAGAAAACAAAAATTAAAAACTTTTTCCCTCAAAGAGTTTACATTCTAGTTTTAGAGGAAAGATTGAAAACATACCTGTTTTTAAATACATTTACTTCAAATGTCATGCTGAGATAGCGAATAAAAGAAGTGTCACAAGATGGTTTAGGACTGTCATATGTTTATACTACAAATGGCAATTAATGTTAGACTCCAGACAGGGGAAAAAAATCTCTTCAGGCTTATCCTAAAAAATAGTCATGAACAAAGTGGGATTTGTGCTTCTCTTAAACAAGAGCAAGGATTTCTATTGTGCTTTCAAAGCTAGGCGACTAGATTGCAATAATGTGCTGTACTTTTCAGAGCTAGAAGAAAGGATTTTTCAAAGTTTCCATGAAAAGAAATGATAAATGATTGAGCAGATACATATGTTTAACCTGAATTAAACATTACACAATGTGTATGATCATCAAAACATCCCATGGTGTTCCATTATTATGAACAATTTTTATGTATTAATGTTAAAAATAAATTGAAAAGCAGCCTCTCCAAATGGGTTTATGACGACTTTTAATTCCATCAGTTTTTCCTGTAACATTTTAGCTACTTAGAAATTTTATCATGCATTATTGCCATTAACTTATCACCAAAAGTTCTTTTGACATTTTCTAAAAATTCCTATAAATACCATTTTTTTTAGGTTTCCTGGGGCAGGGGCAGGGAAACTCTCCAGTGAATTTATAGCAACTGCTTGGCATTGGTTAAAAAATAAGTTCCACATATGTTTTATTTATTTCAATATTTCAAAATGAAGGCTATTAAGGGTCTCTTTACAGTGGGAATGTCTTTCCTTTTCAGTTCTATCACAGAACTCTAGTTTTTCTTCTGAATCCATAAGAAAACATGAAGAAACTTTCAAATGAAAAGAAATTGACACACAATCTTTCCATTTTCTTCTTGAATTTCACTTGCAACCACAGCTCATGATCTCACACTCAAGGGCCAATTCTGACAAAAGACAGGAGGAATTCAAACTGACTAACCGCTTGTAACTAGAGTGACACGTTGATGCTCTACTGCCTTTTACTCAAAATAATTCTAGGTCACTTCATCAAAAATCAGCACATCCGAAATGCAATTTTCCAAAGAAATTCTATGCCAAATTATTGATTTTTTTCCTTTTTCAAAATTACCAACATACTAGACACTTTCTCTTTAAGTTAAGGATATTACCCAGATTGAATGCACAGTCTTTAAATACATGTTAATTTATGAGCTCATAACAACATGTCAAGGCTTGTTTCATCACGCTCTACCTTGGTTTCCTCTTGCTGTTACTGTACTGCTGCTAAGTTTGGGGAATCTATGTTCCATCCTTCCAATGGTCATTAATTAAATTCCTTTGTATGATTTTCTTGATATTAGTCATCTATCTGAAGAACTAACTTACTATTATCACCACATTCCCATTTATTCAACACATAGTTCTTAACAGACTATTAAGTTTGTGGATCTGAGTCAAACCATGGGTTTGCAATGAAATTCATAAATATTGTATCTGACTTGTCCTGATTACCTAACATGTGCTGTCTGTCAGCTACTCCTGGGGAAATCTCAGGTTCCTGCCCTGAGCACTGTAGATGTCAAAGATCCATCTGAGACTCATCATGCTTCGTAAATAGAAGATTCTTCCTTCAATTCCAAATAACATAATTTTCTGATTGAAAGACTTTGTTCTGAACATTTTAATAGCACTGGATGTTGTAACTCTCAGTTAACAAATTGGATTTCTCATAAAATACTAAATTAGAGAGAGAATGTAATATCATCTGCCATAGTATGTTGAGTTCGTGGTTGTTGTTAAGGTGTTGTCACCTACACAATATCAGCTATACCCTTCAAAATTTTCTTTCCGACATTAAGGTCCTTGAATATTTTAATAGTTTAATAAATAAAACTGTCACTGGGGCTTCATTCATTCTTGGAACATTTCCACAACTGGAATTAAACTATGTATATTCACACCCCATGGTCTTTTTTTTTCTCTACAAATCTATTTGATTTATAATGTTTTGATTCTTTAAAATAACTTCCTTTCTCAGGTTGTATGTGTATGTATACATTTAAAAGTAAGTGTGTGAGCACGTGTGTGTTTGCATTCCCTCCAATGTGGGTTATTATAGTTCATTGCCAAAGTATGACTTGCCAATTTCTAATCATCTTCAAAGAAAAAAAAAGTACTTACTTTGAAACAGTCACAGTTTTGAGAAACTAGAGCCCTCAATCAAACAAAATGCTGGAGGATGGCAATCACAATAATTTATAATAAACAGCATAATATGCAGTAATACAGCCAATATGTATCTAAACATTCTATGGATAATACATGCTCTCATATATAATGGGATATCTTATCTATATAAATTAATGATTAAGGGAAAATCCTCAGCACAAAAACCACAAATCAAATAATTTATGTACTAGAGAAGAAATTGGCAAAGGTCACAATAACCTCTTGGTGTAAGTTCTACTCTGCCAGAAAGGCACAAAGCCAAATAATCAGGAGACAATTTCCATCTTAATCAGTTCAGGCTGCTGTAATAAAGCACCATCAACTGAGTGGCTTATAAATAACAGAAATTTATTTCTCACAGGCCTAGAGGTTGGGAGTCCAAGATCAGGGTGCCAGAATGGCTGTGTTCTGGTGAGACCCCCCTTCTGCATTGTAGA